CAAATAAAATAATATTACACATAAATCCAAAAATTCTTCTTACTTTTTAACCACACATTATTTACATCAATCACTATTCAAAAACTCATTTTTCAAAAGAATGGGTGTCAAACAAGCCCATAATTACAATCAAACATGTTGGAAGAAATTTCCAAATGGATATAGGAGAAGGTGAAAAACAATTTCTAAATTTCTCCAGAGCATGGATAAAAAACAGGTGGGTACTAGGATATAAAGTTCTATACAATATGGCAAAACACTTGTATGAACGGAAATTCTGATGCATATGCCAATACAATGGATTGACACTTTTAACAAATGATGGCAAACAAAAATCTGAAATTTTAAAAGAATATATCAATAAATTTGATATACATCAGATAAGTGGCAGCATCTCAACCATCAAAAGGGCATGCTAGAGGGTGTCCCACTTGCCAAAAAAAAAAGAGATTTCAAATAGATAAGGAGGATGTGACTTAAAGAAGACAGCTGCATATAACGACAACCCCTTAAAGAAGATGTGATATAAAGCAGTTGCATGTGAAGATTATAATGGAGGGGCCAGTAGGCTATTGATAAAAAGAGCACAAATTATTAAGTGCTATATGATGTATAGAATGATGTAAGAGGTTAATAATTTTTGTCTCAATTAGATGTATAAATAGAGGCCTTCGAGCTAGATGTAAGACAGAACGAATTTGAGCACTCACTATTGTGAGAAAATCAAAAACCTTCTGTCAGATCTTGTATCAATTTTCAAATATATCAATACTACCAGTTTTAAATAGACCATTCACATTCCAATCCTCTCAAATTGAAATGAATTTATAAACTACTTTTCACATAGATTCTTGAGAGATTAAATGAAAGATTTATCTCTTATTTTAACAAAAGAAGAGTTTTCCTTATTTAAGATCTAGAGTTTTGAATCCTTAGAAAAGATACAGTGAGAGCATAAGCTGGAATAGCAAGGATCCTTGTAGGCAGGAAGCCATTGAAGGAATAGTTTGCAGATCCAGGAGCTTNTGAATAATTATCTTGCAAATTTTTTAAGCAGAAATATCGAGTTTGGAGATGGATAATATCTAACAAATGATATCAGAGATAAAATACGCGGCAACTTATGCCAAAGATGAAGCAGATGCTGTAAAAATTGGGATGGAAACATTAGCTGAAATATTGAGTTATAATGTTAAATTGTTACTTGAGATCAGTAAATCCCATACCAATGTTACAAACGAAATGAAAGACAAAATTGATGCTCTTAAAGCACAATTAATGTCTATGAATACAAACAGGGATATAAAGATTGATGCTTTAGCACAATCTATTGATACAAACAGGAGATACAAACAGGATGACTAAAAAAGACAATGATGAAGGAAGCAGTAGTAGAACCCGAGGAGATGCCATTATCAAAAGTCCAAAGAAGATAACAATCAATAAGAATCATACAAGGACTATCAGGATAAAGACAGATGAACCAGAGGATACTACCCCGTTATCTCCAAAAGAAGACGAATATAAACAATTTACAAAAATCGTTTATGAACTTAAATCAGCAGATCCATATTATATATCTTCAGGAGATCATATCTACCCAAGAATGATAATTATGAAAGGAACAGATCCAGTAATGACCAATGTTGCAACAGACTTTCGATATACTGATCTAATATATCCAAGTACAACATTAGAAGAAATTGAGAGATTTGATGATATATTAAAAAGTCAAGTTTTACAATTTGCACAAAATAGACTAACATATATGAAATTCTACTCCATAAGTCCAGAAGTTGAAGATGGAATATACTATCCAGCAGAACATATAATTACAATCGAACATGTTGGAAGAAATTTCCAAATGGATATAGGAGAAGGTGAAAAATAATTTCCAAATTTCTCCAGAGCATGGATAAAAAACATGTGGGTACTAGGATATAAAGTTCTATACAATATGGCAAAACACTAGTATGAACGGAAATTCTGATGCATATGCCAGTACAATGGATGGACACTTTTAACAAATGATGGCAAAGAAAAATCTGAAATTTTAAAAGAATATATCAATAAATTTGATATACATCAGATAAGTGGCAGCATCTCAACCATCAAAAGGGCATGCTAGAGGGTGTCCCACTTGCCAACAAAAAAAAAAAGAGAGATTTCAAATAGATAAGAAGGATGTGACTTAAAGAAGACAGCTGCATATAAAGACAACCCCTTAAAGAAGATGTGATATAAAGCAGTTGCATGTGAAGATTATAATGGAGGGGCCAGTAGGCTCTTGATAAAAAGACCACAAATTATTAAGTGCTATATGATGTATAGAATGATGTAAGAGGTCAATAATTTTTACCTCAATTAGATGTATAAATAGAGGCTTTCGATCTAGATGTAAGACATAACGAATTTGAGCACTCAATCTTGTGAGAAAATCAAAAACCTTCTGTCAGATCTTGTATCAATTTTCAAATATATCAATACTACCAATTTTAAATAGACCATTCACATTCTAATCTTCTCAAATTAAAATGAATTTCTAAACTACTTTTCGTATAGATTCTTGAGAGATTAAATGAAA